ATTCCACTCCTTCATTTCAGCCACACTCCCACATATCATTACTTATCATCACCACTTATCACTTATCATAAATCATTACTTATCATCACCACTTATCACTTATCATAATCACAAATCATACACTTATCATCACCACTTATCACTTATCATAATCACCCATAATCATTCACATAAATCAGCCACATGCATTCACTCTTCATAATTCAACCTAGCTGTCATGTTTCCCCTTTCATCATTCCCTCACATTCTTTAATTCAGCCAACACATGCTTACACATGCATTTTCAGCACCAAAGAATCATTGCACATGCATTTCCAACCCACATGCATCATTTAATCATTCAAACATGCAGCCACATTCACTTTACCTAGCTGTCATGTTCCCTCTCCCATCCATTTTCAGATTTCCACCAACCAATCTAGTTGTCATTACACATGCATTCCCTTCTTTAATCATTCCTAGCTGCCATTCACATGTTCTCTCATCCCTTCTCTCCCTATAAAACCATGCATTGCATTCATTCAATTCATTCCCATTCATACACAATTCATTCACCATTCACGCCAGAAATTCATCCCCTCTCTATAACACATCCATACTTCACCATTCTTCATATTTTCTGCCCAAAAATAAGCCTTGAGGTCCCCTACATCCATCCCTATCCTAAACACATCATTCTACACCATCCATAACTCCCCATCCCATCAAACTATCCTTAGACCTTGTGCTACAACGAAGAGGAAGATAAGAGGGCCTAAACGTTCATACAATTCAAGTTTGAGTTGTTGGAATGTTTAGGTGTTTCTTTGATTTCAATGTTTAATTTCAATACCCTTTGTTTTGTACGAATGAGGAATGGAAGAGAAGAGGGCCTAAACGTTCATACAATTCAAGTTTGAGTTGTTGGAATGTTTAGGCGTTTCTTTGATTCTCTTTGTTTTGTATCATGAGGAACTAAAACCCCCTGGTTAGGGGGGGATTCGAAATATATGTTTATGCTTGCATTTTGATTTGATTACTTCTAATTGCGTTTCATAAGTTGTGAATTCAATTTGTTTAACTATTTGATTGATAACCTATTTATGTATGCTTATTGAGAGTTCACGCTTAATTTTCATGCATGAATTTGACGCTAGAATATAAGTGAGTTTCACGTAATAGTTATGAACTTATATTCACAAGTAGTGGAGGTTGCTTATAAACAATCGCGTTAAACATATTCTTGGCATAAGTTTTCATGCAATCATAGTAACGAATGCCTCGTCAACACTTATAGTTTTCATGTTGCTTAATGATTCTTGCTTGTATCTCTATTATGCAATTCATGTAGGGAACTTGTGAGGAATGCTTTGGGTTGTCGTATGCAATCATCCAATTCATTAACTTAAGGAAAACTTGACGGTTAATTTAAGCGGACCTAATTAACCCGGGGCGTTGAGAATTCATGGTTTATTGAAATGCAATTGGAAATCTTTTTATTATGCAAGTGTAACATGTGTGGAGATGAACCCCTTAGCTAGTCATCCCATCCATTCAAATCCATCACATTCATATTTACATTCTGTTTTTAATTAGAATCTGTGCAATTAGTTTAATTTCGTCCAAAGTACTCAAAGTGCTCAAAACTGCCCAGAAAGTGTTTTTAAGGCAGTTTTGAGTGTTTTGGTGCTGTTTTGAGTCTTTTGGTTTGTTTTAGTGTTTTAAAGTTTAGTTTTGCATTCTTTGAGTCTAGTAGAGTGTTTTATATTGTGTTTTTACGTTTTTGAGTGAAATCCAAGTGATTAACAATCCCTCCTAATCCCCGGTCCAGAACGATCCCTACTTACATACTTACTACAATTTGACAAAAAGAGGGTTTAATTTGTGTGCGTATAATTCTCGCATCACTGTTGTTTAACAAATCTCCTTGGAAAAGGAAGTGGTAGAACATATGGCTTGGGAAGAATGTAAAGTTCTTCATCTTTGTAAAGCTCAAAATCCTCACTATGAAAATATGCACAACAAGCTTCCTTTGGCTTTTCCTTCTCCTCTTCTTGATCATCACCACCAGATTAATGTTCATTTAATGCTTGGACAATCTGCCCCAACTGAATTTCCAACTTGGTAAGTGCAGTGGAGTGTTCTTGAATCATGCTATTCGTTGATTGTTGAAATTGTAAAGTGCTTTGAGCAAGTAGCTCCAAAGTGTCCTCCAATGAAGTGTCAAAAGGGGTCTGTTGTGGGGGAGGTTTGATTTGGAGCTTGTATGTTGTTCCAAGAGTCAATATTAAGGTTTCTCCAAATAGGGTTATATGTGTTTAACAATGGTTGTTGTGGCCCTTGGTTAGAGAAACACATGCGGTGTGAGTGCTCTCTGACAAATGTAGGAAACTCGTCTCTCCTTGGGCAGAATTGAAAAGGATAACCAGTTTTAGCACATAAAGGACATTCATCATACATTTCTCTGTACCTTCTAAAAGCAAACAACCTAAAATGTAGATTAAAAATCTAAACTAAGAAAGTAAAACATATAGGGTTTATAAAGCAAGCAATTATAGGGGACTGAAATTAGTCCCCGGCAACGGCGCCAAAATTTTGTTATGTTCCTTTCAAGTGCAAATATAAGGATAGTATGATGGCACAAGTAAGGGTGTCGAACCACAAGGACTGATTAGAACTCTACAAATTACTAACTTTATGTGAACCCTAACTAAGCAATGAAAATGAAAACTGAATTTAGATTTTTGTTTTGAAAGCTAAAGTAACTTAAAATGCAAGACAAGTTAAAGACAAATGATAGATTGATTCAGAAATTATGGAATGGAACTAGGGATATCGATTTCACCATTACAAGTCAATTCCATGAAAATTAAGTCAAAATGCATTCAACTCTTGGTAGAATTAAAAGCACACCACAAAGTAGCACACAAATGTCCTATTGATTTTCCTTTTAACACTAAGATTTGTCAATTGTAGCATATGAAAATAAAGGTCGTTCCCGCAGAAGATTGTTTTATCTAACTACTTAAAATGTCACAATAACTGGGTTACTGTCCCTACTGACCAGCCACTGAAAAATAATTATTAGATCGACTTACACTTATCTAAAGTCTACAAAATTTTATATGCAGACACTAGACACAAAGAGCTACATTCACACAAATTTTTGGGATTTTTGGAGTTGATTTGCTATTTAAATTAAATCGAACAAAAACAGAACAGAAACAGATTTTAAGTAGTTCACAAATTAAGAAAAACGAGTTAGGGGAATTGCTATCCACCACCAAATAATCATACAAACATGTTATGCTTCATTCAAATTCCTTTTATTTCCAGATGAAGATGCTCAAGTTGGCTCAATGTTAGAACTCAACCTATTACTCTTTCTTATGTGGTATGTTAAAAGAATGGCATTTTCAACTTAACTTAGTCCCTAACATGCAGTCTGGAATGGCTTGTTCATAGATTTAACGAGTAGAAATCATTAAGAACGAAAAGAGTTTGAGTCATCACAAGGCATCGTAAGCACTGGCGTTGTCTTACTTATCATAGAAATTGGTTCACATGTTAATCGCAATTAACAAGTACTACTCTAGAACATATGTAGGTCCTCATTTGACAAGGGCAGGCACACACATATTCAGAGCATTAGAATCCTAGATATGCTTACTAAGTATGCATCCGTAGAAAACACATAAAGAATTCATCAATGAGACAAGTAGTGAACCAATTTTCATCCATTCATAAAAGTAATTCAAACGAAATGTCATAACAAATTTGCAATCATATTTGGGGCTTCAAAATAGCCCCTAACTACTAAAAATTTAGTTACACATAATCCTTAAATAAAACCAAATGAAAGACATGAGTTTGAGAAGATAAAACCGAAAGAAGAGAATGCCAAGATTTCCTCCTTCCTTTTCTTCCTTCCCCAACACAACTGCCTTGTCTTTTTTTTCCTTGATTTCCTTCCTTTTTTTTTTCTATCTTTTTTTCCTATCTTTTTCCCCCCTTTCCCGCTGCAACCTACGTCCTTTTTCTTTTTGCTTGCTGCCCCAGTTTCTTCTCCATAACTCACCCCACTAATAGCCATTTAGTGATGACAATAAATGAGAGGAAATGGTAAAACAATTGTAACTCTTTAGGTAGCCTTTATGCCCATTACTCCCACTTGATTTTCCATTTCCTCTTATATTTGAATAGGTGTCAGTTGAATTGTTCTTGGCTGCATCAGTTTTGGCTGCTAGAGTTTTGGATTTATTACTTTCAATGCTTTCTTGTCAGTTACAAACTACTCAACCTCTTGAGAACCTTTTAGTGTTAAAACAGCCATAACTTCTTCTAGAAAAATGATATTAACAATTCGTGAAATGCTCCATAGAATAGACATCCATAGCTTTCCAAACATGTAAGGCTCATTCTCTAATTCATTCTGAGCTGTCCGCAACTTGCTTCCAAAGTCAGCTGATCTGCACAGGCAGTTTTGACGAATTTGTTACTTAAAATTCCACTTGTGCTATTTTTTTTTCTTTGCTTGACAAATCCTACAAAACACAAAAACAAAGTAAATAGCTCAAAAATGCAAGGAACTAACTAAGAAAAGACAAGTGAATTTGATGTAAAATATATATAAATATGAGCTTGTCAACTCTCCAATATACAACGAGGGTTCATTTTACGTATTTATGATCACCATTCGGTGTGTGGTTGTGATCAAGTACTCCTAATCTGCAACCTAGTTGTGATGTTCAACTATGATTACCAAGTAAGAATCCATTAAGAACAAGAAAACTTCAAAGAACCAAAGAAATCACATGGCAAGATGTATGCATAGCAGCTTCTTCATTCATTCACATATCCACCAAGATTAAGCATGATGTGTACTATAACCTTGATCAAATAATTCATAAGTAGCCCTAATGGTGATCAAACATTAAGATTAATAAACAAATTATACTATAAAATTAGTGAATGAAACAAGAACACAGATTGGTAAGTTGAATACTTTAACTTAATAACATAGAGTAGGTTTGCAAGGCTACATCGAAATCCCCAGCTATGAACTTAATTACACAACATGATTACAAAATATATAAATATCAAGAACAACATGAGTGAAATTAAAGTTCAAAGAAGAAACCCCTTTGAAGCAATTATGATGTTGAACTTCTCCAATAACAGCGCAGCTGCGTGGTTTCTTCGGTGGCAACGGATGGCGAAGGGAAATAGGGTTTTGTTTCTGGAAGAAAGGCCAAAGAAAGAGAAGAGAGAGAGCTATGGGTGACCCCAAGGGGGCTTGTGTAAAAGTAATCTGAAACCTTAGTATTTATATGCTAAATGGGGCTGCAAGATATTCCAAAGTGATCCCAGCAACTTAGCCTTTATTTTGCACGTTTTTGCCTTATTTGGCACCTCCAAATCAGGCCAGATATCCCAATTCCTTTCCTATTGTGTTCCTGGTCTTCTAACAAACCAGATTCATCTTGGATTCTTTATTTGGGCTTCAAAACAAGTCACTAAACTTCTTTCCACGTTTGAATAACATAGAGTAGGTTTGCAAGGCTACATCGAAATCCCCAGCTATGAACTTAATTACACAACATGATTACAAAATATATAAATATCAAGAACAACATGAGTGAAATTAAAGTTCAAAGAAGAAACCCCTTTGAAGCAATTCTGATGTTGAACTTCTCTAAGAACAGTGCAGCTGCGTGGTTTCTTCAATGGCAACGAATGGTGAAGGGAAATAGGGTTTTGTTTCTAGAAGAAAGGCCAAAGAAAGAGAAGAGAGAGAGCTATGGGCGACCCCAAGGGGGCTTGTGTGAAAGTAATCTGAAACCTTAGTATTTATATGCTAAATAGGGCTGCAAGATATTCCAAAGTGATCCCAGCAACTTAGCCTTTATTTTGCACGTTTTTGCCTTATTTAGCACCTCCAAATCAGGCCAGATATCCCAATTCCTATCCCATTATGTTCCTGGTCTTCTAACAAACTAGATTCATCTTGGATTCTTTATTTGGGCTTCAAAACAGGTCACTAAACTTCTTTCCAAGTTTGAATAAGGGTCAACCCCAAAAATGGAATTTTTTCATTTCTTTTGCCTTCAAATTGATCCTAAAGTACATGTAACTGCACATTAACACAAAATAAGGTAAAATACAACCAGTTTACCTCAAAAACATCACAAAGAAACTAGAAATTAATGGTATAAAGCATGAAATAGTCACTCACCGATACACGCTGGAGATGGAATATTTGGTCACCAGATTGAGTGTTCAGTTACCATAGTAGAATATTTCGTCATTGCACAGAATATTCTGTCACAATTAACGGTATACACACAGTTAATAGAGTATTCCATCTTCTTCTCTAGTGAGTCCAATTTTTCAGAATGTCATAACTAGTTGAATTCTCAACTAAAATTCACACAATTCATATCAAATTGAAGCTAAAGATGAGGAATCAAAATATACCTATATCGAGGTCTAAAAGTGATCGAAGTTGATCATAATTTAGCCTGAATGCCATGGCCAAATTGGAGTTTGTTGAGACAAAGGCAGATTCGAGCACATGCTCGAATCTTGGGATATAAGTGATAGGGAGTTGTTTGGTGTTCTCGAACTCGCACAATTCAGTGATATTTGGCCAAAAAATGCGACAGGGAAACCTTGGTCAGAAAGACAAAGAATTCGTCGGAGATCCTCTCAGTTCAAACATAAGTTCTTCGTTGTTGAGTTTGATGACTAATTCAAGAATTTTCTTGGGGTTTCTAGACTCGTGGTAAGTCAGGGAGAATAATGATGATGGTTTGGTGGTGTGGGTTCGAAGGTTGGGTGGTGAATGGTGGTAGTGGCTTACGATGTTGCATTGTGCAACATAGAAAGATGGTGAGTGCAGAGAGTGAGAGAGGAAGAGAGACTGTAGAGAAAGTGAAAGAGAGTCATTGTTTGGTTAATGTGTGTGTGCGTGTGTATTTGGGTCAGATCCAAACAATAACTTTATAGGCTCTAGGCTCAAATAAAATAATTATCAAAGACAACCCACTTGCCCCACGTGCAAACCTAATTTGAAATTGTAATCAGACAGGTAGTTAGAAGCTTGCAACCTATAATAAAGATGGCAACCCAGCCGCCTTGAAAACAGTTTTGCAAATTCTTTAATGTGCAAATTACCATTTTGCCCCTCATCATGAAACGTTCATAACTTGTTCGTTACATGTCAGAATTATGTCCTCTTTGTGCCCACAAGTTCGAATTGATGAGTAATATTTAAATAGTAAAGAAAAGGGAAAGATTATGTAAGAAATTTAGAGGTACATATAAGAATACCACTTAGTTCGTCATGGGCATTTTGGTAATTTCATTGCTTCTGGGAATAAAGTACAATAAAATTTGGGACGGGATGTTGCAAAGTTGTATCCTTAAGTTGAGCTCTCAAATAGGTAATACAAATGCGATTTGGAAAGATTAATATGCAAGGAGACTGAAAATTTTAATTCAAGCAATTAAGAAAAAGATACAAGTTCTGTGGTAGATTTCATTTATTATCAAGAATACTTGACATTTATTGAAGCTGATTTTCTACTACACAATTTATCACATGTTTTGAGAAGTTAACATGACCGCTGATGGTTTTGCTGATTTGGCATATACCTACAATTAGTCTTGTATCTTGTTCACTAATTTTCCTCGTGTAACTGTACCTAGGTCACTTTTTGATAAAAATGGAAATAGGATCCGTAGAGAATTTCTTTGTATAAAGTTTCTTCTTTAAAAAAAAAATTACAATTTTAATTTAATATGTTCAATCCATATGACATGTCACCACATCAACCTTGAAGTCACATGAATAAATTTAACAGTTATTTAAAGGATTTGACAAAATCCAGGCAACGTGCGATAAGATGAGAGAGAGAGAAGAAAAGTGAGACGGTAGTAGGAGAGAAACGGGGTGGGTGGGGTAGGGGAAAGTTTGTTGGGCTTTTTCAAATTATTTTTTATTTGTTTTCTTTTCTTTGAGCTAAACATTATAATGAATTTTCATAAATAAGGGTCTAAAAGTTTAAAGAATAAATAATTATGTCATTAACATTTCGATTAAAATGTAGGTGAGAAAATACGACAATATGGGTGTGTTTGTTGCATTGGACTATCTTCGAATGGACTAACTTCAAGGACTAAGCTGGACTGGCTTAGACTAGACTAAACTGGACTGACTTAGGGAAGTTTTTGGTGAAGTGTCAGACTAAGAAGCATGATAATGAAAATAATTCTATTTTAATTTCTTTTCTATTAAGATTATCAAAATTAATATTATTGGATGAGTGAGCCTTAATAGAAAAAAAAATAGCGACCAAATTTAGAAAAGAACTCATGAACATAACAAAAGAACTGTGTATTGGAATCTCAAAACAAATAGATTGGTTATACAATGGAAGTTACAACATGAAAACTTGTTTTTTGGTCTCGCCATACAAGATGTTATACCATGTAAGGCCCTTCAAGAAATAACAACAATCTTTTTTGATGTATGTTCCCTGCTAGTGATTCGCTTGGCCTCCTCCATAAAAGGGTACCATAACCCTGTTTGAAACACTTAGGGAATGGAGTTTGATGAGGCATACTACCCCCAATATATTCATCTTAAGGCTTACGCTTAAGATAAAACACTTGATGTACAAGATACATTACCTAATGTTACAACTCATCAGAATCCCGCCCTGAACTGGAATAGCAGTGAAAACGAGAATATCCCGTTTATGTAAAGGATAAAAATAAAATCATGTGAAGTCTTAGTATACACAACTTGGTCACTGGGGAAAACTCGAGCCATATGACTTTCACAAATCAATATGCAAATCAAATAAAGAGCAAGTTCTAAAACAGTAAGATTCTAAGTTCATCTATATATGCTAAAGCAAAAATTAGATATTATACTCAATTTTACATTCATCATCTCCTCAAGCATTCATCTTTCATCAGCTCAAAACATTTGCATATAGCTAGAATAGAATGATGATTTGGTGTGAAGAATAACTCTCTCACATATATACAAGGAATACCAGCACAAATTATTCATCATAAATCATACATTATAAAATAAAGTGTAATTCAATCTCAAGATTTATACACACTATTGCAAGTCTGCAACCCCAAAGGCACACCTTGAATTTGGGGCTTGGGTATAGGAGCATCACCGGTAGCTCTTAGATGAACAATCACTGCACAAAATGGAAAACCTATAAAAATAAAAACACCATTGATAAATAAAATAAAATAAAATAAAGAAACTAAAAACTCAAACTAAACAAAACAATTCAAAAGAATTTAATTAGTGGGATTTTTTTCAGAAAAAATCCAAAGCATTCAGAGACTCCAATGTAGCCATTTCTAGACGACCTCGGAAATTGGAATTTCAATTTGATTTTGTGGGGGACGGGAATCTGGGAAAAAGGTTTGAAAGAGATTTTCTTAGAATCGATATATGAATGCGATTGCTTAAGAAATCCAAATCCAAATCAGCAGGATATTGAAATCTAAATCAAGACAAAATCAAATCCAAGTATTTCTTTTTATCTTTTAGAACAAGAAAATATGGCTACAAAAGATTTCAATGGAAACCATCGGCAACCATGTAAGTTCGTTGTCGATCGTCTACTTGTTGGACGACTGCAAGGACAGTGGGAAGATGATGAAATGTAACATCCCACATCGCCCAGGGGAGTGATCCTTATATGTATATTCCCAACTCTACCTAGCAAGAGGCCTTTTGGGAGCTCACTGGCTTCGGGTTCCGTAGGAACTCTGAAGTTAAGCGAGAAGGGGGCTAGAGCAATCCCATGATGGGTGACCCACCGGGAAGTTGCTCGTGAGTTCCCAAAAACAAAACCGTGAGGGAATGGTAAGCCCAAAGCGGACAATATCGTGCTACGGTGGAGTCGGGCTCGAGTTGTGGTGGGGCCCGGGCCGGGATGTGACAATATGGTATCAAAGCCTAACCCTGGCCGCGTGTGTGCCGACGATTGTTGGAGTTTGAGACCCTCTTGTCCCACATTGGTCAATAGTATTTTTTCACAAGCCTTTATATAGGCTTATTCCCTTTTCTTAGTAATTCGAACTTGAACCATTTGGAAATTGATTGAAGGCTTGGGCCTTATGGTTGTGTGGATTAGGCTTGAATATAATATAGCCTAAATACAATTAATATTAATTAATCAAGACAAGGGCCTTGGGCCTTAGGGTCTTGGAATTTAAAATTAATCAGATTCATTAATTTTAATTTTCGGATTAAGTTTTTTAATTAATTTATTAATTAAAAAATGTTTTGATTAAAAGACACAGCTATTAGAAAGAGTTGTACTTTTTGATTAAAAGACACAGCTATTAGAAAGAGTTGTGTGCTTTCAAATACACTGAACGGGTATTTGAAAAGGTGTGAAACAGCCTATATATTTGCAATCACAGTATCCAAGTGAGAATCATCTTTTCTTCCTCCTTTTCTTCCGTACAAAATTTCCAGAGAGTAAACACACAAAGCAATTCGCTAGAGTTCTATAATCCGATGCGGGTTGTAGAATTAGGTAGTTGTATCCTGGTCGAGCAGACGTTGTAGAACCACAAGCACAAGAGTGGGACGAAAATACTGTTCGAAGGACATAGCTTTTACGCTAGCCTCTACCTTCTGTGATCAAGTTAGTATCATTGAAATTTTTATATTAGTTTATGTATTTATTGTATAATTTCATTCTGCACATCAAGTATATTTGGTAAATAAAATATTAGAATTTCAAGTTCTGTTTATTTCTGTTATTTTTGTTTATTTCTGAATTGTTCTCCAACAACGAGGACGTCGGGCCCCTAAGCGGGGTGGATTGTAACATCCCACATCGTCCAGGGGAGTGATCCTTATATGTATATTCTCATCTCTACCTAGCAAGAGGCTTTTTGGGAGCTCACTGGCTTCGAGTTCCGTAGGAACTCCGAAGTTAAGCGAGAAGGAGGCTAGAGCAATCCTATGATGGGTGACCCACTGGGAAGTTGCTCGTGAGTTCCCAAAAACAAAACCGTGAGGGAATGGTAAGCCCAAAGCGGACAATATCGTGCTACGGTGGAGTCGGGCTCGGGTTGTGGTAGGGCCCGGGCCGGGATGTGACATGAAACGAGTCTAAGGCGAAGCAAAGCAGATGGGACGAGTCGGAAGCGAAACAAATGGGATGAGTCAAAGGCAAAGCAAAACAAACGGTCTTAGGAATCCGCTGCCCCTTAGGGGCACTCGCTAAGACCGGCTAAGGAGGTAATTAGTTGGGGCAAGTCCCCTTTAATCCCATTAAACTTTGTACTTGCATGTAACAAACACGGATTAGACTAACTCTTAGTCTAGTCTAGTCCAGTGAAGGTGATTAATTGAAGTATAATCAATTTGGATTTCAGAAGATTTTAATAGATCTTTTTTAAGTGACTGATTTCAAACGATTTTAATAGACTCTACAATTCTATATGGATTTTGGTAGATTTATATGGATTTCCATTATAGATTTCTATGGATTTGTTGACACACCCCGACCGAGATCAGGGCATGCTGGCCGTCACGTGGAAGTGACGTAACTATGTGCACAGTGCGGAAGCTAATAAAATAATAATAATAAAAGTACGAATAAATAAAAACCAGCTATACACAACATAAGAACATACATGTGCAAGCGTAAGTGTGAAAACAAAGTTCAGAGCTCGAAGACCTAATGCAGTCCGGGAGAAACAACACTACATAAACACACCCCAAAGGTAGTCCTACACTGGTGATAATCTGTCAGATATACCGGGGAAATCCTCTGGGGAACCACCAAAAGTGCTAGCTAACTAAAACGTGGAGGGGCGCAAAAAAAAAAAGTGTGAGTGGGCAAAAACAAAGCTTTTCAAAAACCATTTCGTAAACAAAGTTCTAACCCCTCACCGTAAA